TGACCAGGTCCTGGTGGCAAGGGATCTCCAGCAGTCCTTGCCTGGTCTCTGAGCCCTTAGTCTGATCCACTCTGGGACGAGATACATAGCTCTGCTTCAGTAGTGTTTTAAACGCAGGGCATTCTGAGGTTTCTGTGGCTGGACAGACAAGGAGCATGGTATGAAACTCTTGTTTATGGGTTGTGGACACCTATAAATGTTGTGCATAGAGAGTCCCTGTTGATTGTTGTTTTGTGTCTCTTTGTTGTTTGGTTTAACTTATTTAAAGATGGGGCCATATCCCACTTTGCTGTGGAGTCCCAGCTGCTTTTGGCAGACTGAACCCGTGGCAGGGATTGCAGGAACGTCCCAGCAGCTGCCGAGTTCTTAATCTTGGGGACCCTCCTTGCTCTCCCTCTCAAGTCATCAGCCGCCTGAAATTCTTAGCTAGTGAGAGTTTTGTCTGTCTGTAATGTAAATTGGTTAAGGATGTTCCTTGCTTGCTTTCTAATCTTTTGAGGACTTGGTTTACTCTTCACCGTTTTATGAACACAGGGAATCCTGTTTCTGCTGTTTGGGCTTTGGGCCACTCAGAACCAAAGGCCATTTGCTGTTCTGGGTTAGTGCAAAATAAGATTCTAAGGCTAATGTCCCAGGCCCTCCTTTTGGGAGCACTCACCTATTTACTTTAGGGGTTGTTTTTGTTCCTATTTTGAAATAGGATAAGATCTCTTCTTATACGCAAAATTTCATGTTGTTACAGTCTACTCAGAAAGACAACTATGCGAAATAAACCTTCTAAACCCCCAAAGTTTTTCTCCTAGAAGGGCCAGATCTGCAGAAGTGCCCTCAGGCAGGGGCCACTCCCACTTTGTAAAGAAAAAAAAAGTCTTTGGTAACAAAACATTGGAGTTATACTAGTTTAAATAGTAGAAATTATTAAATATCTAGGTATTTTGAAATAAGTTGATACTGAAATATTAATTAACCTGAGTTTGCCTAGTTTTGATCTCTTATTACAGAAAAGCCCAGTGTGAGTTTCTGTGAACGAGGTTTTGTGTGTTGGCCTTTAAGAGGGTGCCTGTGTCTGTAGTAGACTCTGTCTCTCCCTGCCAGACGGGATCCCTGCTGAATTTCACAGCCAGATGTTATACGTGCGCTTGGTCCCAGCTCTGGTGCGCTGGGCTTGGGATCCTGGTTTGAAGATGAGACCCCACACTTCTTGGGGGAATTTTGCAGCTGAGATATCTCTTCCGAATCTCAGCCACCAGCATCTCTGCCCTTCCTACGAGTCTCGATGTGGCTTCTTCCTGTAAATCCTTGCTTATAAGACTTCTCTTCAGCTAGTCTTCAGTTGGTTATTCAGGTTGATTGCTCTATCTTTGAGTTATAATTCCAGTTTGATCCTGGGAGGAAGTGAGTGTAGCATCCAACTACTCTGCCACCATCCTTGACAAAAATACCTTTTTTTTAAAAAAAAATGCTTTCAAGAGAGCATTCTCAGAAACCAACCTTAACAACCCTTAGTTCTATATTCCTGGGCCAGCTTGCTCTAATCATTGCTATCTGCTGGTCTCAGTAGAAATAGCTCAAAAATGCTCTGTAAAGTCAGGAACAAGGGAAAGGAGTCGGGATTCACAGGCAGGACCCTGCAGGCAGAAGGGGGCCTAGGCCAAGCCATCTGCTCCTAGCCAACCCAATTAGTTATCAGGAGGGATTTTCTTCTCATTGGGAGAGGCCTAACAGTGAGTTAAAGAAAATATGTGGGGGGAAAATGTGCATCTTTATCAATTTTGGGTTTCAAGTAGTTGTAACATATGTGTTTGTACCCGAGTTCCTATGGTCAGGGGTGGGAGCACAATAGGAGAACCTCAGAAAGCAGAGCTGGATGAAGAGACCAACCTCTGGGAAGACCAACATCTGAGTCGGCTGAGGGACGCTCTTAACATGTTTCCTTATGACTTGGGCCATTTCAGCCTGTTGATCACTGTTTTAACTGCTGGGATATTTCAGGAAACAATGTAATGCTCTGAACAAAAATAGAGAGTAGTGTGTGTTCTTGACAGTTGCCAAGAAATCAAGATCAGATAGCCCAGAGGCGTGATTCAGTGGTTGAGTATCAACTTATGAACCAGGAGGTCACGGTTCGATTAGTGGTCAGGGCACATGCTCAGGTGGTGGGCTCCATCCCCAGTGTGGGGTGTGCAGGAGGCAGCCAATCAATGATTCTCTCTCATCATTGATGTTTCTATCTCTCGCCTTCACCCTTCCTCTCTGAAATCAATAAAAACATATTTTATAAAAAGAGAGAGAAAAAAGATCAGATAAATGCCTTGGGGGCCGAGGCCCTGAAGACCCCGAAGATACATGGCCCTCGAAAAGTCCACCAACACATACATTTTTCAACTTCCCTGCAGAGTGCTCCAAGGGAGAAAGCCCATGGAATCTAGAACAAATCATTTGACTCCTGCAGCAGGAAGGGGATGAGTCACTAGTATGGCTACCAGTAAATGTTTTTCCCCTACCAATGTATTCTCAGAAAGGGATGAAGTTTCACTCCCATTGACCAGGGTGGACATGCTGGAGAAAGGTTGGGTGATACTCTTTAAAGTTTATTTTAAATGAGAGGAATGTTGCAGTTCTAAAGATAAGAAGAAGTATATTTTGAGTAAAGTTTTGAAGGTGGAGAAAGAAAGATCAGGCTAGGAGGGCCTAAGTCATGGGCAGGTTCCGTCATGGGGTACTATCTGGTTGCATGTTGTAAAGCTCCTTACTTCTGCCATCTGACCTTCCAGTTCTTCAGTGTTTAATGTGGAAAGCATGTTGTTGATATAGAATGGAGGGGAGTACAGAGGCCTTCTTCAAGCAACGCAGCCAGAGATTACCAAGTTCAGGTTGAATTTAGCTGTATACTTAAATATATTGACATTCCACCCTTTCGCTCCCTGAGAGAGAGAGAGAGAGAGAGAGAGAGAGAGAGAACTTTCTTAACCTCATAGTTATTTATGGTGGATGAGAGAATGTGTAGTTATTTCAAAAGTTCATCAGTTTAGTTGAAGTCCCAGGGAACAGGAAGAGGCTGGACAGCAGTGTGAACATGATAAGAATGGGGGTTTTATTTAGATTGCTCTTTGTCAGAAATTTATATTCTTCTATGAGTGGTATTTGTGTCCTTGAGCCCAGGATAAGGTCAGGGGTGGGGACCAAACAGCCAGATAAGGTAGAAACCAGTACACCTACCCCACCCCTTACGTACATACACCCTCTACCTCCATAGAACTGGTTTCCCTTTTGTTGCTATAATATGTTTGGCAACAATCAATCCCTTTAGAATTTTTATTTTCTGCTGTACAGAAAAAAAGAACTCAACAAACTTAAAACTCCAATTACTTGTGTCTCTGGGGTTCATGTCTAATTCTTGCCATGATATTTGTATATATAGTCATCAGTGTGAATCTACTACATTGTGTTCTAATTTTTCGCTCATTATGTTTTGTCTTTACATTCCCATGTGTGAGTGATAGTTATGTTCACTAAAAGTCCCAAATATGTAGGCCACATACACTGTCATTTTTATTAGCTACCAATTCCTAGCCATCCTCCAACTGTTGGATTTGCAAAGTTAGGATAAATCTTTGCAGTTTGAATAGGGGTGGCAGTCATCCCTAGATGTCTTTTCCTAGAAAGGTATGTGATCTGAGCTAAGCAGAAACATGTTTCAACTCCCACACTGTTTCCAGAGTTGGAAAGGTTCAGGCCCAGAAGAAATGAAATTAGCTGGAAGGTTTTGGTTGCTTACTATTTTATAACAGGTTATAGGTTTAAAGTCCAAAAGGGCTCGAATTTCTACCCCATGTTTGACGTCTCAGACCTCAACCCAGAGGAGAGCGAGCTGAGCTGACTTTCCTACACCCCGACACACGACAGTGATGTGAAGGCTCAGGGGGCCTGGCCCAGCCCTCTCCACCACGGTGTGTGGGGACAGAGGTACCAGCCATACCGGCATCTGTAGCTGCCAACCTACTTTCTCTGGATCTTCTGGGGTGAATCAGAGGTGCCCCCGCTACCCATATTGCAGAATAACAAGTGGGTTAGCCACAGGAGTTGCTGGGAGTGGCAAGAAGAATGAATGGCGAGCAGCAGTGCTGTGTAAGGCCCGGTAGGACCTTAGGGAACATAGAAAGGAGAAGCACAGATGGACCGGACACAGCCAGAAGCCAGCTAGGAGCTGCCCAAAGGCTTTTAAGAGCTGAGCGACAGGGAGAGTGAAAAAGTCCAAAGCTCAGGAGCTGCGGGTGCCTCATAAAGGGCGGCCTTTTCACCTCTGTCCTTTACTATTTTCCTCTTCATGTAAACACCTGTAGTTCCCATAAAATATCCTTTGAGTGTCCAGCTGAAATGAAAGGACTGTCCTTATCTGCTTGCAGGCCAAAACTGCCTCTTTATTTGTTATTCTTTTCCCAGCACAACATCCAGGACCAAGTGAGTACTCCGGGGAGCTTTGGTGAAGCGAGCCCTCTTCTTACGTTCTTCTGCGTTACTGGTAAACTCCAGCATGAGATTCCAGTCCCAAGTAAAGTCAATACTCTGTTCTCAAATAGAGCCTGGGAAGGACCTGGGTGATTTGCTGTGGGTTTTTTGTTTGTTTGTTTTTTAAAAATCTTTTTTTAAAAAATATGTTTTTTATTGATATTAGAGAGCGAAGAAGGGAAAGGGAGAGAGAGAAACATCGAAGGTCTGCCTCCACATGCATGCTGACTGGGAATCAAACCTGCAACCTGGGTACTTCATTGTGGTTTGATATCTTGTATAGGTTGAAGAGTGTAGTTGATTTTATTGACTCTCGTAGCAAATAGGATGTCTCACATTTAACAGATGCACTTGCAATTCCATTAACCAGTGTAGTTTAAGATGTATGATGAGTTAATACCAAAGCCAAGTAAAATGCTTAATTCTATTCTCCTTTCTCTGTGTGCCTTTCCAGCAGAGCTCTCAATCCCATTGACATAGATCGTGCACCAAGAATTCAGTTCAGGTTCTTGGCAAATGGGCATCAGCATCATCCATTAGCCAACAGGATGGAGATCACATCTTTAAATTCCCAGAAGCAGCCATCACTGTGCAAGGATGGAGAAGACTGTCAAGAAAATGGAATTCTACAGAAGGGTGTCCTCACCCCTGGGGATAAGAAGGAGTCTGGCCAGATCTCTAATGGGTACTCAGTGGTTCTGAGCCCCAGTGCAGATGACACTCAGCACTCCATCCCAGCTGCCACCACCGCCCTAGTGGCTGAGGTTCACCAAGAGGAACGGGAGACCTGGGGCAAGAAGATGGACTTCCTCCTGTCGGTCATTGGCTACGCCGTGGACCTGGGCAACGTCTGGCGCTTTCCCTACATATGCTACCAGAATGGAGGGGGTCAGTATCATGGGCCACGAGCAATCTTTTCTGTCTTGCTTAACCAATATGGGTCTGGGAACATGATTGCTTAGACATGGAAACTTATCTAAAAGATAAATCTCCAGACTAAGTCTGCATGTCTCAGGCTCTCTGAGCTGTGAAGCTGGGTGAATCTCCCAAACCTGACCTCAGCAGATCTTCAGCATCATCCCCCAACATTAGTGCTCCCTTCTCCTCCCTGCATTATCCAAGCTCCGCTTCCACCCAGCGAGATGTGGGGGTCACCAGCTGCACTGTGCTGAGCTCCTTCACTCCTGCTGGCAGATTCTGCTCAGAGGAGTCCAGAGAGGGGAGATCTGTGGCAGGAACAAATGGGTGGTAGCTCTAGGGTCCAGACCCTCCTGGGCCTTTGGACCTGTGTGAGACCAGAGAAGGGTGCCAGCTTAGGTCCAGAGTCATAAGTCACAACCTGGGCATGATCCAGAGCTGAACCCAGACAAGCATGACATTCATACCAATCCCAAGCCATGCACAGATGTGTCTCATGTCTCCAACAAAAGGGTTAGGTTTTTGAGGCCAGCGACTATTTCTTGTTCCTCCTTCTACCCCTAACACCTTCAGAGCAGTGAAATTGTCGATTATGAAAAATAGTAGGCATGGGGGAAAAATTAGGCATGGATATGGGAGCCCCAAAGAGGGGAGTGAGTAGGTATGGGACTGACATTGGACTTGCTATCAGAATAGGAAAAGGACGAGAGATAGGAGTCAAATCAGTTGATATTTATTTTGACAGGAGCTCTGGCAACAGATTTGGGAGGGCAGCTAAAATGAGGTTGCGGCAGGGGGGATGTAGGGGCGGGGGGGGGCGTAACTCATTTGTGTCCATTGCTTAACACAGAACTGCCTGTCTTTGCTGCTTTTAAGGGCCATGGTCCATGCAGCTGCAAAAGCAGTTCCTGTTGAGGGGAGGGGAGCCCAGCACGCCCTGCCTGGGAGGAGCAGAACCTTATCTCCAGCTCGCTCGGGAGGACTCACCTTTAGCCTGAGTGTTACTTAAGGTGCTGGGTCACCAGTGCTACACTCATTCCCTACGGTGCAGTCAGGCGAGCAAAAACCCTTTGGACAAATGCCACCAAGAGAACACAACGTGGTTCTTATTCTCAATCCAGATTTCCCCAGATTGTAAGTTAGGTGGGGCCTTTCTGAGCGACACTGACTTCAGGCTTCTAGGTTCAAAGCACTTAATGGGAGGGTAAGTTGTCAGGGGAAATCACAGCTCATCCATCCTTTGGGCTAAAACTCAGGCTGCAGGCGAGCGAGCAGCCTTAACTTGGCATTTCCACATTCTGCCTCGGCCATGAGAGACCAGCATTGCCAGACATGCAGCAGCTCCGGCCTTTCTCAGCCTGTGACAAACTACCCTGTTGGCCACATCTGCCAAAGTGGCTCAGGAGGGAGTGTTCTGGCTCAGTGGAATTAGAGAAAATAGCTCGCTATCGATAATCAATAGTGAACAAAGTTCTAATTCAGTGACTCGTAGATTATTGCAGCTGTTTGTCACGGAGATCTGATCCAAGGTTCCCAAACGCCGATCCATGGACTGGTTGCATCAGAAATCCTAGGGAGCTTAAATATTTTTTGTGAGACCCATACCTGGAGCTCCTGCTTCAGGAAGTCTGGGTAGATGTATGTTTTTAAGCCCACCAGTGAGTATGATGGCTGGCTGGGCTTGGGAACCTCAGCTCTCCTCAACCCAGTCATTTGATAGGGGAGCCAATACTCACAGAGGAGATGTGGCCCCGGGACCTCCAGGCAGTTAGAAGTGGAACTAACTGGTCCCAGTGCCTGTTCTGTTGACTCCCAAGCCCAGCTTTCTTTCCGTTTGCTCTCTGCCTCCGCCAAAACCTCACTTGCGCTGTGCGGCTATGTCTGCTGCTACTGGCAAAGCACCAAGACCAGCGGAGCACAGTGTGGGGGTCACTCAGCATAAGGGCCATGGTCCATGATGCTGGGCATCAGGCGGCTCTGGGGTTCCTGGTGTGGACCCTGGCGTGCGGATCAGTTGGGCCTTCCTGGGACAGATGAGGGCAGGGAGTAAAACTGTCTTTCATCTGCCTCAGGGGCGTTCCTTATCCCCTACACCATCATGGCCATTTTTGGGGGGATCCCACTCTTCTACATGGAGCTTGCGCTGGGCCAGTACCACCGAAACGGGTGCATTTCAGTATGGAGGAAAATCTGCCCGATTTTCAAAGGTAACCAAAGGCTTGAGTGGGTGGGTTTTCCAAGAAGTGGTGATTTCCATCACTGGGCGGGAGCTGGGGACCTTCTGGAGTCAGGCCTTCGGTAACCCTGGGAGATAACTGGAGCACAATAATTAAGTTTTGACTGCTCAGGTGGTAGGAGACTATTAAAGGGAAACAGAATAAGTGACCATCCAAAGTAAACTGAATAGAAAAACTTAAAAGCATTAACAGCACACACACACAATTTCTGAAGCATGTGACCTTGCAAATCCATGTAAATCATTTTACCACATCGCCTCCCGGAGTGGCAGCCCCCCTCCCCCTCCCCCACTGCAGTGCCCTCCAATGCCCTGTTCCGTCTTTCGCTGTTGGGCTGCCTTTTACACTTGGCCTCCCTCACCCTCTGTCCCAGGGATTGGTTACACCACCTGCATCATTGCCCTTTACACCGCCTTCTACTACAACACCATCATGGCCTGGGCACTCTACTACCTCATCTCCTCCTTCACCGCCCAGCTGCCCTGGACCAACTGCAAGAACTCCTGGAACACTGCCAACTGCACCAACTACTTCTCGGAGGACAACATCACCTGGACACTCCACTCCACGTCCCCTGCAGAGGAATTTTACACGTAAGTGCCTATAAGTGAGGGGGTGGTTTGTTGAGGACGGGCCATACCCCTGGGGTTTGGCCCAGGCTGGATCTGGAGTTGGGGGACTCTACCTTGAGTGCTCTGAACCTGGCTCTCTGTGCCATCTGGTCCTTTCCGATGTGCCATGCCAGGCAGCTCTGACATGCCCAGGACGATCCCTACTGTCTCATTCCAAAATTCCTCCCCTGCTCCAACCTCCCTTCTTCCTGGCCCCTCCTCCCAGCCGGTGTCAGGGAAGCCAAGCCTCTGGCCACTTCAATAGTCTGAACATAGTCACATAGTGTCTGGTCTCATGTGTTCCCTTCCTAAGTGGGATCTACCCTTTGGAAGAAGATACCTGGAGTAGGGAATACTCTTTAACGCTGGCTTTTGGCAATGGCAGCCCAAAGAGAGTGCTCGTTTTGGGTGGGGAAGGGGCCTTCTACCCACACATACAAATCCTCATGGCCCTGAAGCCAGTCATGCTGGTCACGTCTCCTGGTTGGTCAGGCCCGAGCCAGGCAAGGAGAGACCTGAAGACTGCCTTGGGGCTGAGCATGTTCCCCGGGGTTGGTTCGCTGAATGTGCTGGTCTCTCCTTCAGGATGGGCAGAGCCCATCCCAGCTCTTGCTGAGGCTTAGTGACCACCTGGTGCTTGCAGTGCCGTGTCCATTTCTTCTCTTGGCACCTCCTGCAGGTGTCACCAGCTGTGCGCTCAGGTCACTGTTCGTACCATCTCCTGGGCCTTTCTGTCTCTTTCACTCCAGGCGCCACATCCTGCAGATCCACCGGTCTACGGGACTCCAGGACCTGGGCAGCATCAGCTGGCAGCTTGTCCTCTGCATCATGCTGATCTTCGCTGTTATCTACTTTAGCATCTGGAAAGGCGTCAAAACATCTGGCAAGGTGAGGAGACTGACTGCTGATCCAGGCCTGCCAAGCGGCCCAGAGACTCTCAAATTCAGAACTCGGTAGCCCAGACAGCCATAGACAGAGGGACATTTCCTTCTACACCAGACATAGCCCATGATGCTCAATCTCTCTTCACCAAATCTGTTAGAAAGTTCTAGAAATGGGCCAATCCCAAGAACGATTACATGATTTCTAAAAAATTTCGTTAACCCCTGTTAGTGTCACCATTAATAATAGTGGCAATAACTTATTAAAACCCCTCGTGGATCATGTCCAGTGCTTTATACACACTGGCTATTGATCATTTTCTGCTACATACTTCACCCACTTACAGGTGGGTAGTGCGTTTGGAGGTAGTAAGTACCAGCAAGCAGTGGATCAGATCCCTGGCTGATTCTAAACGCTGTGATCTTTCTGCCACACCACCCTGCCTCCTAAAATTACAGAAAAAAGGAAAAGAAAGAAAGGGAGACCTCCTTTCTTAGGGGTTTTCAAGAATAAAAGACACCAACAGCCATGTGGGGATAACCTGTGTCTCCTTCCTCACAGGTGGTGTGGGTGACAGCCACCTTCCCTTACATCGTCCTTGTGGTCCTGCTGGTGAGGGGGGCCACCCTCCCTGGAGCCTGGAGGGGTGTTCTCTTCTACTTGAAACCGAACTGGCAGAAACTCCTGGAGACAGAGGTAAGATGATGAGGAAAACGGTGTGCACCTATCTGTCATTTTACCAAGTGAAGCTAGTCCTCCAAATAGGATAGTAGCAACAAGTAAAATTTGGGTTCAATGGCAAGTTTGCAATGATGCTTTCAATCAGAAATACAAGCATGAAAAGTACAGTCGAGGGCCCTGGATTGGTTTATGCCTACGCGATAAGAAGAGAAATCGCATTTGTTTGCATCTGAGATGTGGCCATCCCTGGAACGAGCCTTGAGAGCTGCTTCTTTGTGTCTGCACACAGCCACGAGGGCGCTGGCCCTGCTGGCACCCCGTGTTGGCCCAGGTCTCAGCCCTTACCTTACCTCTGCTGTGTTCCAGGTGTGGGTAGCTGCTGCCTCTCAGATCTTCTTCTCTCTTGGTCCTGGCTTTGGGGTCCTACTGGCTTTTGCTAGCTACAACAAGTTCAACAACAACTGCTATCAGTGAGTATCACGGGCCCTCCAAGCAAAGCTGAAAAGTGGGATGAATATAAGTCAGCCGGTCGGGAGGAACCGATGGCCTCCATCCTGGCTGGGCTCAGGCCATGTTGACACTCCGACCCTCAGAGGTGCCACAGGTCCCTGACCAATTCACCCATGGCCAGAGCCTCATCCGGGCCACTCAGGGGTTGAGAGAGGCCCCAGGCCACTTCCACTTTGTGAGAGTCTCTGTACTAAAAACATTAATTCAGAAATTCTAAAGCAGGTTTACAAAAATTATAACAGACACTAAATATTTATATTTGACTTATTATATTTAACAACATAATTATAATGTGATAATTTGTTTATGTATATAGGTTTCCCCCCCAAAATGTATACATAATTTGAATAATTATTAATTCCAATAGGTTAAATCTGAAAAGAAAAAAACATTACTTGAGCTATTAACAATGTATGTGTATACATTTTTTGGGACATCCTATATATATACACAAAAGAATGATTGAACTATGTTGACCAACACAAAATGCCATAATTTTTGTGGCAAATCTTATTTCAGAAATGTTGACAAAACAGAGAGCATTGCACCAATTATGATTTAAATATCACCCATCATCTTTAGAGTGGGCTTTGTTTTAATGTTCTATCACAGATGGCAAGGTGCAGCAATCAAATTATGCTATTCATAAGATAATTACAGAACTTGTTTTTTGTGTGTGTGTTTTTTAAAATGAATTTACATACAACCCAAGAGATATGGCCTTGCGTTAGGACGCCAGCCAGAAGTCCGATGATGAGCTCTTCTGTTAAATGTGTCAGGATATCACCGTGGCAGCCTTGTAACCTCATCTGCACATAGTGTCAAAAGTCTAAATCTGAGGACTTAACAAATGTGAGGCCAAGGTCCCCTGCTGGCTCCCACTCCAGCCCAGGCCCCACTTCAGAGCAGCCGTGTTTGAAACCGAGGAGTGGACGCTGTGCTGGTTCGAAACAGGCCTGTATTTGAAACCCACCCCTAAGCTGCGGTCCTCCCTGCCATGTGTGCCGACCATGGCAGCTTGTGCTTCGAGGCTGATCCCAGCAGCCTGGGAGGCCGGGCGCTGGGAGTGGGGGAGGGGACACCAGCACAGGCTTGAAGTCCCTGCAGCCCGCTCACCCTTGCCACAGCTGGAGGCAGATGCTCCTCAGACTCCTGACTTGGAAATGCCTCAGCCCCTTGGGTTTTCTGCTCCAGAGACGCCCTGGTGACCAGTGCGGTGAACTGCATGACCAGCTTGCTCTCGGGGTTTGTCATCTTCACGGTGCTTGGATATATGGCTGAGATGAGGAAGGAAGATGTGTCCGAGGTGGCCAAGGATGCGGGTAGGACCTTTGTTCTGTTTAGGTCCCTCACTCCCGATGAATTGCTTTGCTGCTCGTTGGATCTTTTCAGTATCTAACTTTTGAGTGATTTCTAAATGTTTCTTTTAAAATTTTCAAAGATTTTAGAGAAATTTAATGCCTCGGGGAGCTCAACCCTTTCCGGGCCATGGTGGGAATGGGGCGGCTCCCTCGTACCCAGTACTGGGGCCTTGACTACACTGTGGGCTTCTCCTCCCTGCCCTCTGTCTCAGGCCCCACTCTCCTCTTCATCGCATACGCAGAAGCCATCGCCAACATGCCGGCGTCCACGTTCTTTGCCATCATCTTCTTCTTGATGTTAATCACACTGGGCTTGGATAGCACAGTGAGTGAACGGGGAGGGAAATCTGGCTCTGGGGAGGCAGAAGGGGGGGGGGAGGAAGGGGAGGGGAAGGAGGAAGTTGTACCCATTCCCTTCCATCCTGGCCTGCCCGCCCACCCCCCCTCCCGCCCCAGGGGCTCCCCCAGCCCATTGTTCAATCCTCATCAACTTGCTTATCCTCCAGTATCCTAGAGAGTCATTAATGGGGTGACTGTGTGTATGTACACAAGCACAGGCCAAGGGCTCAGCATATGTAAACTGTTATTACTGTCCACTGTCCCTTGACCAGATGGCAGCAGCTTGACCAGATGGCCAAGGCAAGGTCCCTCTGTGTCTCAGTGCCCTGCCACCCAATGTTCAGCTTGATGCTCTGCACTTGGCTTTGAGCTGGCTTTTCTGGTGCAACTAAAGGTTCCCCAAGAGACCTCTCATAAAAAGTCCTGTCCATATGCTATATTTTCTTTCCTTCATGTCCTTTGCGATGGGTTCTAAGTGACAGTGTAGACAGAAAAATATACTTCCAGGGAGGGCTGGCGAATAGGGGGAAGTGGTCATGACCAGCTTGGCTGATCACTCGGCAGTCTTAATCTCTCCCTCCTGTTTGCTGTCCTAGAAGGTAACAGATTTGTCCCAAAGCCGCCCTGTGACCATCTGTGTGTGTCTCAGTTTGCAGGCTTGGAGGCGGTGGTCACCGGTGTGCTGGATGAGTTTCCCCACATCTGGGCCAAGCGCCGGGAGTTGTTTGTGCTTGGTGTGGTCATTACCTGCTTCTTTGGGTCCCTGGCCACCCTGACCTTTGTGAGTACCATGACCCTCAGCTGTGAGTCGGCCTCCCCAGAGGCAACAGAACACTACAGGAAGCCGTTCCTTTCCTTCCATCCCACATGGTGCCCTGGCTTTGGGGCTAAAAGAAGGGCTTATAAAAGGTTGTGACTGCTTATAAAAAGCTTGCCATCAAGGATAAGAAGAAAAGATGGTTCTGGTGGCGCCTGTTTGTAGAATCTGTGCTAGTTATCCGGAGGCTCTTCACATTTTACAGAAAATCCAATTAGATTTCAGGGTTGGCAGGATGTCTTGAGAAAAACTAAGAGTTGCTTTTCCGGTTTATTTCCAGTCCTTAGAGCTGCTTTCATGGCAATAATGCCTTCATGTCTTCATATGCGGAACATCTGGAGGCTGGTGTCCCATGTTTGTAATGTCACCTTGTCTCCTCCAGAGAATTCATAATGGTGAAGAAGAGAGACCCTCTCCAGGGTTGGTTTGTTTGTTTGCTGCTAGATGAAGCAAATACTGTACAACGGGCATTAGGTAATACCCACAGGATCCCGGGCTTGTGTCCTGACTCAAGGCAGATTTTGCAGATATGCATCTTCAAGCCATGACTCCAAAGTCTGTGGAGCTTTGGTGGATGGTGACATCCTGAGCAGGACCCAAGGGGTTTGTGAGTTAGGACAGAAGGCAGAAGTGTGGCCAAGGTGCTCAGTGGGTCTGGTATTGTGGACTCTCCCAGATTCAGTCTTTAGGGACCGGGATTCTCCAAAGTCGAGTACATAGTAGGTGTTTGGTAAATTGAAGAAAGTTGATCAAGGCCCTTTTGAGTTAGTCCCTCAGAACTTAGTGGGGAGAGGAGACAAGAAGAGAGTCCTCCCTAGGGACGAAGAGGTATCTGAGGGGGCGAAATCAGGCCCAGCCCGAGAAGGCCAGTCCGAGAGATACTTACATTAGGTCCAAGGTGGGCACTTTCCAGAATTATCCTTAGTTAAGAAGCTTCTTTTGGCCCCTATGGGAAAGCGGAGGCAATGCCTCAGAGGGCCCCTAACCTGGGTCCCGATCTCCTTTCCAGGGCGGGGCCTACGTGGTGAAGCTGCTGGAGGAATACGCCACGGGGCCCGCGGTGCTCACCGTGGCCTTGTTAGAAGCCATTGCTGTGTTTTGGTTCTACGGTAAGATGCTTCCTTCCACCAGCCACTGTCCTTTCTACATCAGCCCGGAGCCCCCAGAATAGAGAAGGGCTGATTTCCCTAAAGGGCAGGGCAGTGTGCAAGGTGCCACCTCCTGGTGGGCCTGTAAGATAAGCTCGGCTGAGCACCTTCTTCCAAAACAGGTCACCATCTCCTCAGCACTCTCTCCAGCAGGTTGCTCATACCCTTGGGAGGACATTTTTTCTTTCTGAGTTGAAATGTCTACCCAGTGGAGACAGGCTAAAGCGGTTTCCTAATAGTTCACCCACTGTGGATGCTTAAGATCCTGGCTGGCTCTAAGAGCTGGACACAACACGAGGAACTAGCGCACAGCGAATGCACTTGCAGAGTGGACTGTTGTACAGAGTGGCCCTCAATTTAAATTTCGCAAGTACGAGCTCCCTCCAAGCCCTGAGGCAGAGTTTAGGAGCTTAGTTTCTAGGGAAGAGGCAAGAATGTTCCTGTTTGGATTATCTGCCCTAAAAAAAAACTAAACAAAAAAAAAACCACAACTCTCCCGGTCCTGGGATGGAATCTGATAAGGATGAAACCAACAGGAACAGAGATAGTGAGCTGACACAGGTCCATTGGCAGGAGTCCCAAGAGCCTCTGGGTGGGGTGGGGAGGGCACTGGCAATTGAAGTGAATAAAGACAGCAGGTTCAGAGATGCCTGTCTTTATCTTTAAAATCAAGGAGTGATTACTTCATTCTGAAATGTATTCATTTTCCTAGTTTCTGTGATAGTAAATCAGCATTAGCCTGTTCGTCATTCTGCATAATATGAGGAAGGGGTCCCCATATTTTGAGTTGCATGTGAGTTCAGTTTTTTAAAAAGAAGTCCTCCCCGTCTCCTCAGCAGTTCAGACAACAAAGTGTGTGCATCACTGTAGACCTGCCCGAGCTATTGCTGGGTGCTCTCAGGGAAGTAAACACAGAGCTACTTCCCTTCCCCTTCTCAATTTCTCACCAGTCAGAGTCTCACTTCTACTTCCATGCAGCTTCCTTTATAGAGGAGCCTTGATTGTGACCTGGCACGTGAATGGACCATAGTGTGGTTAAAATTTTCTCTTGGAAGTTTCCACTGCATGGTTAACATGGTCCAAGTCAGTCTCTGTTGAGCAGGCTCATCATTCCTAGGCAAAATTTAACTTTCTTTTGTACAGTAACAATAAAATAAAATATGTGCTGAGATCTTAGGAAGGCAGTGTGGGCACCAAGAGGGGGCTTTCGGTTTCTCCCCGAATGTCCACATACTCCCCCACTCTGTGTTGCTTGCTATGAAATGAAGTTCTGTGACGAGTCCCCCTGTCCCACTTTCAGACCAGATTGGTGCCCTGAGCCCCTCCCATGAGACATTTCAGAGCTGCTTCTTCTCTGAGAATCAAGGGATCAGACAGTCCATGTCCTCTTCCTGTCAATCAATCTCTCTCTCTTTCGGATGACTGTAGGCATCACTCAGTTCTGCAGCGATGTGAAGGCAATGCTGGGCTTCAGCCCTGGGTGGTTTTGGAGGATCTGCTGGGTGGCCATCAGCCCTCTGTTTCTCCTGGTGAGTTGTCATTTTCCTCCTCCTTCTGGCCCTGGAGAAAGGTCCATGTAAACACATAAAAAATAAATTGTATTGAAGTGTAACATATATACAGAAAAGGGTACAAATCCTAAGTGTACATCTCAATGAAATTTTATAAATTGAGCACACTTTTTAAAAAATATATATTTTATTGATTTTTTACAGAGAAGAAGGGAGAGAGATAGAGAGAAACATCGATGAGAGAGAATCATCGATCAGCTGCCTCCTGCACATCTCCTACCGGGGATGTGCCCGCAACCCAGGTACATGCCCTTGACTGGAATCAAACCTGGGACCTTTCAGTCCGCAGGCCGATGCTCTATCTACTGAGCCAAACTGGTTTCGGCTGAGCACACTTTTGTAGCCAAGACCATACCAAGAAACAGAAACAGGGCCAACACTTCAGAAGCCCCTCCTGTGTCCCCTCCCACTATCTGTGATTCCCATGGTTAGCTGCTCTTCTGACACAGAGTCATCTGGGCCTCAGTCACCTTATTGCTTCACTCCCCTGTTCAGCAATGATGATAAATAACATTTATTGAACATTAAGGACCAGGCCTTAGTGCAGAACTTATACACCCATTGCTCTTTTAATCCTCACAATAATTCCATGAAGTAGTACAGTTCTAATACCCTGTTGTACATTGAAGAAAATGAGGCTTAGAGACGTTAAGTAAAGGATCCAAAGTTACATGACAAGTAAGAGCTGTTCAAGGCCAGGGAAGGGTTTATCCTGAGGCCCTGGGAAGGGTTCTGGTAATATTGTGTCCATTTTTTAAAATATATATGTTTCAGAGAGGAAGGGAGAGAGACATAGAAACATCGATGAGGAGAATCATGGATTAGCTGCTTCCTGCACGCCCCCTACTGGGGATCGAGCCCGGAAACCCAGGCATGTGCCCTGACAGGGAATCAAACCGTGACCTCCTGATTCATAGGTTGATGCTCAACCACTAAGCCAAACCGACCGGGCAACCACACAAATAATTTACATTATTGTCTTCTTTATGACTATAAAATAATTAAGTTCAATCTAGAGCAATAATGATGTTAGCATAGTGGATACTAGGTAAAAACTGATATTTATGCCACCGGTTTCCCTAAAAACCAAACTGAAATAAGAAAACTCAGAGCCTGAATGTTGGAAGCATGACATGGAGTTTTTCTTGGTCAAAATTTTCACAGAATTTTCAAGTAAAGAGTGTATTAAGCTGCGTTTTCCCTCCATTACTCCTTTCATTATGAGGGCCGATGGCAGGCAGTCATTCATTGTTGAGACGCCTCAAGGCACAGCCAGCCTTGTTGAAATCCCAGGCTTAAGGCAGAAAGCAGAGAGTCACGGACAGGGGAGAGAGGAACACAGACCCAGGAGTCCAAGTCCTCTTCGGGTCTTAAGAGCCTTATTATCAGCCCTGGACATAGGTACCTTCCATCTGACCAAAAGCAATCACGGCCGAGGAGTGCAGGAGGAAATGAAAGCAAAGCAAAGAGGAATAGGAAGCCCGAAGCCTGGCAGGGGCTGTGGAGGGGCCGCCCAGCTTATTGCTCCACCGTCTGATTCAAGGAGCCCAGACACTTCTGACGGATGTCAGTCTCTTCCCCTTTGGCCTGAATGGGGAGCTGTAATTCCCTTAAATAACATTCTGAGGCCTTGGCATCCCCACGGTGGAGGTGGAGGTGGAGGGGTAGGGGGGAATCAAGATAAGCACCTGGCTGTTTTATTTTCACAGAAAATTAGGCACAGAAATCAGTGAATTTTTTATATGAGAGTTCAATCTAAGATATATCATATTAGGGGAATTTCCCGAAAGTATCTTAGCTTTACACTTGGTGTTCGTAGTACCGGAACTGTCTCTGGCTGCACAGATGTTATTTTTAACGTTTCTTGGAATTTCTGTTTTAGTTTGTCATTTGCAGTTTTTTGATGAGCCCGCCACAGCTACGACTTTTCCAGTATACTTATCCTCACTGGAGTATCATCCTGGGTTACTGCATCGGAACCTCGTCTTTCATCTGCATCCCCATATATATGACTTACCGGCTGATCATCACTCCAGGGACACTGATGGAGGTGTGTGCGTGCGTGTGCATGTGCGTGTGCGTGTGCGTGTGTGTGTGTTCAGACTGGTAACTGAGGAGAAAAGGGTTCGCATGTTATGCTCTATTCACTGGAGGTAAGTCCCCCACATACACCACGCAGACCTCTGATGGCTGCCACTGCCAGGCATTCCCCATAAGCCTCAAATACAACAGCAAAGGAGCGAGCTGGAAACTCAAGAGCACCACAGTGCGCAGCGCGGGGTGTGAGTAGCGTCCTAAACTTACTGGATAACTACTTTGCCTCCTGCTTGCCATTGGCGTGGACATCAAATTTGTGGTGTCGGGAAATACACACATTTTGATTTAAGTGGAGATCATGGTGGGAAATGTCCATGGTCATTTTTTCTAACAGCAATGTAACAAGGGCTATTTTGAAAACCATCACTAAATAAGGATGTTGCAATAACATCATAGTTTTAGCTTAAGCCACTAGAGTTAAAAAAAAACGTTGCCATTATAGCAAGGTTTGTTTCTTTAATTAATAATGGGCTGTAAAATTTTTAATAACAGAACATGACAATTTGTATAAGATTGTGTCTTTTTCCAGGGCATCTTCATGTAGATTATCCCATTTTGTCATCAAAATACCTTGTGAGGTGGGTGGGCAGGTATTATTAGGAGACAAAGGTATGGAGGCTGAGAATAATGCTGCTCAAAATTTCCTTATTTCAGTGACTTGTCCAAGGACACACAGCCCAGGGAGGCTCAGAATCCAGGCCTTCTGATTCCTGGGCCAAGGCCCTTTCACTCTAGGTGCAGTTTCTCTTGTGTCCTCAGCTTGCCTTTAAGGGTTTGCTAAGTGTAGACATTGGTGCTAGAGGTTAGGGAAAGATGAGTTGCCATTTTTCATCCTGTGTTGCTAAAGTTAGTAGTCTAGGTCACCTACAAGTCTGAGGGTGGATGCTTTCGCAGGGGATAGCTCAAAGGGGAAGAGTGGTACTTGTGGAAAGCGAGGAGGGATGGTACTCTATAATGAACTGAGACCTGAGATGGGATGGTCCGTGGGCTCTTAGAGACCAATACACTCATCTTCCTAAAACATTTTAAAAGAAACATGAAGCAAGAGAACATGAGGCAATTAAACATCAGCTCTTCTTGAGAACTGAGTTCATTTATTTTTACAAACAGGAAACTGAATTCTAGGTGAACAGAACTCTGCAAGGAATTACTAAATTCCTGCATCCAAACCCATTCTGTCACCACCTCATTCCTCCCAAAGAGCGTTGGGCTCTGGTGTTGCTTGAAACACATGCTCAGACCTACCTAGAGTCACTATATTTATATCTTCAGGTTGTCCTTTATGGCAGTCATGATGGTCCACTGGTTCTATTGACTCAAACCCAGACGCCAAGGTCAGGGGTGGGAACTCAGGTTAATAAATGTCAGTATCCTTTGGTCACAGACTGCACCTCGAATATTTGTCATCTTTCTTGCAAATCCCTCCCATTGGTCATAAGGAAATGCCACCCAAAGGTATATAATTAACAGAGCTCAGATCCATTAATAATAAAGGTGAGGCTGTTTGTAGGGCTATTAGTAATAGATCAAGGCAAATTGCCATAGGTCACCAGAGAGGGAATGGTGGGTTATCAGTAAGTATCATGATACAGCCAGCCAAGGAGGGCTGGGAGGGACAAGACCTAATCAGCTATAGCAAGTTATGCACCTTCTCTGAGCCTGAGTTTCTTCATCTTTAAAATGTGCTCATTGGACTGGATTAACATTTGCCAAATGTTAGTGTCTTTTAAGGAGCAGTAGTTCCATAGGATATCAATAGGCCTTATGCTTGGGGAAAAGATTTAGTTTCAAAAGTTTTGGCAAATGCTGGATTAAGGCAAGCTAAATAGGTTTCTTCATTGTGGGACTTCGCAAAAGCCTTACCATGCTGCATGTTTGGTCTCTGAGAGGGATAAAGCATGTCATGTTTTTTTTTGCCAAGAACACCAAGGGACTATAATTCATCATGAATACCATACTCGATGGTCTGCAACATTTTATCTATGAGGGAGGGAGGCTTCATATGAAATTTTGGTATGGGTAAAAAAAAAAATGACTAAGAGAAAGGTAGATTGTTTAACTCGTTTGGGCCCTAGCCATACACAAGGTTGGAGTTTGTGGAGTGAGCCACCAACTTGCTCACCTATAATTTGGAGGGTATCCCATGCACCTGCAGCCTGCAAGTCTCAAGGTTGGAAAATCAGCTTGATTGGGTCATTGACAGAAGCCCCTCCCTGGTGACTTACACACTGATACTGGTTCCTCACAAGTAAGCGTCCAACAGCGACCCATTGCTTAGATTTCCACCTGGCAGAAGGCCAGGATCCAGCACTCATTCTTCTCCCCAAGCCCCATGTGGCCACAGGAAACCTCCTCCTTCCAGGGGGGAAAAAAAAAAATAAAGATGCATTTTCCCAGGTTGTCGAAGGCATGTTATAAGCCTGCAGAGGTTCTATTGAAGGCTTATCATTTTCTCCCAGTAGTGATATAATGACTTTCAAAATTAGTTTACAGATGCTTACAGTTCCTGAATATTCAATTTTAATTCCTACTTGAGAATGAATAAATTGGAAATTCCTTTCTTAAGGAAAGTCAAAGAGACTATTCCAATTTACTATTAAATGCCGTTAAATGCCATTCAAACTGTTTTAATATTAATGTTGAAAAATTTTTTTCAGGACTGTTAAGTTACAGGAATGTTTGTAACATCATATTTTCTTCCCAACAGCGTATTATGAAAAGTATCACTCCAGAAAAACCAAGAGAAACTCCCTGTGGGGACATCCACTTGAATGCCGCATAAGACGCTTCAGTGAGAGGAAAGTAGCTTCCCAGCAACCTCTGCCCCCAGTTCTGACAAGTCCCACCTCATCTTCTCCCTCTAAGTAATGAGTTTCCAGCTAAGCCTGACAATGGCAGGGCCTTCTTCATAGAGACTCAACCCTGAAAGACTGTGGTGCCCAGACTCTTACGGCCTCCAGCCACTTGTTGCTGGGAAGTCTCCTGGACAGATTACCATGTTAGACTCTGTGATGCAGCTGAACTGGACTATCTTGGATGCATGAGGGTGTGTATGGAGGTGATGAGAACCACCATATACCAGTTAGGGTTAGGTCTAGAATCAAGTCTGTGAATGTCTCCTGTATCATTTGCTGTTATGATCATTAGTATTGTGGGGGGATAGTAAGAAGCTAGGGAAATTCCTTGACAAGTGGAATAAGGGAAACTGAGACAATTAAGCAAGGCCAAGCAATTTGAGCCATTTACAGCCAGCTAATGCATCACAAGGTTTTATCTTCCCTAACCAAGGACACTTAGGAGCAAACTGTTTACACATTCCAGACTGTCCCAGGACAGACCAGCCTCAGTCCCTCTTCGACGACGTTCTTTAACAATAAAAGCAACCAGAAAATAACCCTGACCCCTCTATAGGAACATTTTGACAAATCAACATATTCAAGGACACACCTGGAAAGCTAATGAATATTCTGTTAAGACCTTCCCCTGAGACCTCCCCAAGGAGTCCCACCTGCCAAAGATAAAAAGCCTCAAGACAAAGGACCTACTGTGCACTCTCGCTAGTGCACAGCCATCCTTTATCTCTGCTGTCTTTCTCCTAAACTCTAAGGGTCCCCGCAAGACTTGCAACCAGGAGGGCAACAGGCAATGGCAGCTCATCCCAGGCTAATCCCCCGAACCTGTCTCCAAGGCCCCCTTTTCTCTGACTTTACAGTGAGCTAACGGCAGCCCCACCTTGGCTCACCTATTTTACTGTGACTTCTATTTCTCAGTGAGCCAAAGCAGTCCTGCCTAGGCTCTCTCCTGTTGCTTCTTCTACCAAAGCCCTTCCTTTGCTGCACTGTCCCAGCTTTAATAAACATATTCTCAAAATCACCTGGACTCATATTGTGAAATCTTTCCTGCACAGAGTCAAGAACCCACATACTACTGGTTGGCCCAAAGCAGACCCATTCCACGCCTAGACCCTGTCTGGTAACAGTATCAGACACTTGTTTTCTTCTAAAGTTGTCACTGTTCATGGATGCATAGACCAAGTAGGAGAAAACAGGAATGCTGTCTTGCTAGCCATATATTTTCTGAAGAGCACAGAATTCTATAGCGGGATCCACTAGAGCCCTGTAATCCATGTGTTGCTGTGGAGTCAGGAGAGGAAGATATAAGGAACTAAACTGAAAAATATTTTGTACATGTGAGCATGTATGTCTGTGTGTACTGTGTTTCAGGATATCCTTACTTATCTTTATTCCAATATTTTGTGCCCATTACAAACTATATGAATTTCCTCTAAGTTTTCTTACATTAACAAGTTCCACCTACTCAACTGTGGATGTATGTTATTTGAAGAGTATAATTGCTACAACATGCTCTGTCTCCTTTTCCTTTCCCGGTGACACTACTTGAGCTCACACACCTTTTTTTTATGGGCCAGACTTTAGCATTTGCTGAACTTTATTGCCATCTTTATCAAAATCTTAAAGGGAATAAAGCCTAATCAATGATAAAACAACTCAATTATCTAGCTCCATATCACTTCAGTCCTATATGTAAATCAAATTTAATTCTAATTGCCTATGGAAACAATATCCATATAGCAGAGGCTTGGTTTTATCCATTTATAGTTCTTCCTTATCTGGGAACAAGGCCTGGAAATGAGAATGGGGTAGATCTGACTACAGAAAAGTAATAGGAGGTTGAGTAGTGATCCAGGTGAGGGCCAAGGCTGGAGTGAGAGCAGGGCGAAGGTGGCAATCTTACAAAGGAGAATCTTGTTGGCAGATTGGCTCAGAGGACAAAAGAGAAGGAAAGAGGTGAAGATGACATATAGGCCAGGAATTTTCTATCCTGATTATAGGCTATTGTAATGTTCTTGCCGACCAGCGACTTAGACTGATACAATGAGGAAAGGCTGTTTTCTTCTAAGTTATTCTCCTAATATACAGAGGCTATACTCCAGGCTCATTTGATGTAAAGAATACTGAGTTTACTGAATAGATAAAATAGGGAACTGATTTGTGTCACAGAAAGTGAAAGCTTAAGATCTAAAGAGCCTTTTCCCATTGTTTAAGTCACAGAACTGTTCTCTTCTTCCTTCTTTCTCCCTTCCTGCCCCCCAAATTCCCACAAAGGAGAACAGACAGACTGCTGCCAGCATCTGCCACACTTCCTTTCCTCTCTCTGCCTTTCCATGGCCTCTTCTGTTACTTTTCCCCACTGGCTTAGCCAGGCTCCCTTCTCCTTCTGGGCCCCTAACTGGCACTGGCCAGTTAACCAAGCTGGGTCTGACAACAGCCAGCTCCTGCTACTTTGGCTCACATGCATCAGAAAGCTACCAGGGCCACTGTACCTGCAGGACACACACATGCCCATCCTCACCCCACCCCAAGTAGGGCCAGCACAAGAGAGGAAAGAGAGTGAATGATGGTTTGGGGGTTAAGGCTCCTGGCTCAGGAGTCAGGAAGATGAATGGCCTCTGGTAAGTTATGTCACCTTTCTGAGGTTGAGGCTTCAGATCATAATGTGGGGAGTGATAATAACACCCCCTCATAGAGTTGTTGTGAGGCTGACTATCATGGGAGTAGGTTATGGTTAGAACCACACTGCATAGTACCAATGCTACACCCTGTCTACTTTCTTTGGCAGTTTGCTAAACCAGACCTGGCAAGGGAAAAGCCATCAGCAGGTGGATGGCAGGACAGAGGGTAAACAATAGCTGATCTCTCAATTCCAGTGAGGACTCAGATTACTTCCACAGCTCTGTGTTAGGCCACACACCTAGCCCCGCTTTGGGAAGCAATCTAGTGTGGACAATCAGAGCTTTCTCTTCTGGAAACAGAGAGTGCTTCCACTGGTGGAATCCAATTTATGTGCACACGGACCAGTGTCCAGATGCCAAGAAGGAGCCTGAGCTCTCCTTGAATCCCCTTTCCTATACTTGATGAGAAACTGAGGTCAAGGAGACTAAGTGATTCCTCACAGTCATGGTTAAGTTGGTGCTTTAATGCCACCACAGGGCCCTCTACTGAGTCACGATCTCTTGTGCAATGATAAAGCCCTCTGATTGGCAGCTTAGACTATGGAAACAGGGTTGAATCCCAGCTCTTCCACTGAGCATAACTTTGGGCTCTATAAATCAGTTTCTTCACCTGTAAAATGAATGTCATCATAATACACAAACATGAAAGCATTCAATAAGCATGTTGTTGTTTGTTATCATTAATAGATGCAAGGAAAAGAGCCCCAGAGAAATCAGGGCTGGTCTTAATCCCAAGCTTCAGTATTATCTGTCTTCTTGTTCTCAAAACATCATCTCACAGAGCTAACTGAGATTTAGGCAGTCTGTCCTGGCTTTGGACCATAATTCTAGTCCAGATCTTCTTTCATTTGTTTTTGTTAAATATTTAATAGCTACAGTAGGTACCTATGTACCCACCACTCAAGAAATAGGACACTGGCATTGCCATTGAAGCCCTGTGTGCCCCTTCACTCCAATCCCACTCCTTGGTAACCATTCTCCTGAATTTTACATTTATTGTTCCCTGCCTTGGTTTGACTATATCTGTACATGTCATAAATTATATGAGTTAGTTTTACATGTCTTTAACCTTAATATAACTGTAATCATGCTATATGATCTTTTTAACTTGTCTTTATTGCTTAAATTATTTTTGTTATTTATCCATACTAATGCAATTGTACTTCACTCATTTTTCACTGTGTAATAGTACTCCATTGCATGAATATGCCACAACTAATCTATTCATTCTCTTGTTGATAGGAAGTTGGGTTATTTTGTTTTCTATTAGAAATGGTGCTTCAATGACCATTCTTGTGCATGACCTTGATGTACATGGAATACTCTTCGTGCTCAGTTACGCCGATGGCCCACGCTTGTCATCTGTAAGTATGTCATTACACCTGCTTACATTTTTATCAGCAGTGTATAGGGCTTCTCAGTTTCCTGTAAGGTTGGGATTATCCATTTTTCATCTGTTAATCTGGTGATTAATCAATTTCTATGCTCACTGTGCCATGTAGATAGAGACATGGCACAGTGAGCATAGATATGTTGTTCTGGCATGATATGTTGTTCTTCATGTGCTGTGGAAACCATGTTTTGTGATCTCATTCCTTTTATAAGTGTTGGCTAAGACTCAGTGTCCGCGGTTTCCATGCTTGCACTGACCTCCGTGGGAAAGCGGTTACACCTGCTGAGTGGCTGGGGCAGCCTGGAACATTGTGGCTGTCACGCTACACACCGCATGGGGCAAAGTGTCCAGTCTGAAAAAGTAGACTCTCATTCTTATCCTGTCAGGCTAAATACAGTAAAAAGAAGAAAGACAAGTGGCTGTAAAAAGAAAAAGCAGAAGTGTAACTCCTGCCCCCAGTCTTTTTCTCTGGGGAAAATAAGAAGTTGCCAGCCCAGGTGCTGAGCAGAGTTTTGGTTGAGAGAAAAATCAAGTGGCCGGTGGGTGTCCTTTACCACTATTTAGAAGGAACAAGCTGATTATCATCATCTCATTCAGTGAAGCTTGGTTCTCCTGATCCTTGATGACATTACGTGTGTCTTCATCATCCTAGACGACTGGTTTCAGTTAGGAACCCTGGGAAGAGGGTGGGAGGGGGTTTGGAGCTCCTTCAGGACACACTGCAAGAATATTGAGCTGCTTGTTTGGGGAAAATAAATGATTGCAGGCGACAAGTGCTCTCATGTTTCTTATGAAGATTGTCTGCCCTCTTGCTGGACTAGCCAATTCGGTGGCTTGGCCAAGCAGAAGGGCCCTACCCTTCAATAGCTCTGAGGACTCAGCTCCTAAACATCTGGTCGAACTAGAAATTCAGATGTAGTACATGAATGTGAATAATGAAGATGTACCTGGAGAAATACAGAACCTCTGTACAAGGGTGAGGCACAGGAGGGAAGAAATCCATCTACTGCTTCCACCTCTGCCATTGCTACTGCTCTAGCACCCCCACCCCTGCCTCCCTCCTCCTCCTCCTCCTCTTCCTTTTGTCTTCTCTCCTTTGTCTCTTCCCCCTCTCTCTTGGGTCTGTAACAGGAGGATTACCTGGGAGCCCTCTACTTTGTCCTTTCTGTGTATTCTTTAGACTGGGGAGAGGACCGGTCACCTGGATCATGGTGGAAAATGTGTTCTTACTCACAAAGGTGAGCAGGACATTCCTGCTCACTACAGGAGAGTGTGTCTATGTGTATGAAAGAAATGGTCCCTCTCATTTCCTTCTTCCCTGGCCCTAAACTGCCTTCTGCTCTCTACATGACAAACAAATCAGAGGTTTTCAGAATAGGGCAAAGGAGTAGGCGAGTCTTCCAGAGGGAAGTGGGCCTCTCTGGTGGGTCAGCCCCGCACACAGAGTGTGTGCTTCCCTCCTCCCTGCTCCTGCCCCACCCGCTGTGCTCGGGATGCCCTTACTGCTCCCAGGTCTGCACTCCACTGGGTCTGGTGAGCAGGGGATAGCGAGCAGGGGATGAGGGCAGAAGGGGACAAAGGCAGCGAGGAGAGTGGCACCCTGTTTCTAGGGAACTTCCAAATGGCCTGATGTCAGAATTGCATTGTTGGGAGATGGTTGGATTTGTTCTCAGCTGACATTTGGGTATATCCTGGTTTTGTTTGCAAGCATCTGGCTATCGGCATAACTCCTGACTCTCCAACCTGATAAGGAGGACATATATCTTATGATGGAGTTTATTTTAAATACTTTAAAAAATATTTGGAAGGTGGAAGGAACAAGCAGAACAATATAAAAATGCCATTTTCATATAATTTCCATCTTTAAGTGGAAAAGTTTACCCATGACTTTATGCAAATGAGCATAAAGTTCCAAAGAAACCTTCAGATGGAATGAATTATTCTGCTTTTTCTTGAGCCCAGGAAGCTGCTGGGGACAGTGTGACACCTGCTGGAAATAGGACTAAATGTGTTTGAGACAACAGGAAGTAGTGACCAGCAGAGCTTGCCCTGACCTGGTTACAAATCTGGTTATAAAAGAAAGCAGCTGGAAAGAAATTTGCATGTCCAATAGGTTTCACTATTAAAGTTTACACAACGTGAAGTAGTCAGCCAAGCTGGCTGGCTCCCCAGATCACATGATTATGTAGAAACATGAAACTTAGCTATGTGTTCGAGCAAGTTTTACTTCTCCCTGGTGCAAGGGTGTTTGCCAGCAGTCTGAACTCTCAGAAATCAGATTCAAGTGACTGGGGCCCTTGAGATCAAAGGTTTATCATGCTACTCCCTAGGAGGGCCAGGGACTGCTGACGTTACCACTGGACGGTTACTTGTGGCTCTTATCATCACCAAAAAGAATGGACAAGCTTAATAAAATAACTGTTCCTGCCAGTCAAAAGTTGAGGTAAGATTCTCCCCAATCAATACTTTTTTTTCTTCTTCTCCTTCTTCTGCTTTTTCCCAATGCTCTTACTGCATCTTAGAAAAACTGAAATCCTAGAATACTTTCTAGTTCTAAGGCAGTGGGTGGCAACTGCTATAGGGAAGTGGGCAGGATTTTTTAAGAAGTGTGTAGGAATAAGTGGGTTTGTTCTAGCTGGCTGTTGCCAATAATAAAGTGTAAAGCTCTGGAGAGAAAATAAAAAGAAATGTCAAAAGTTTAGATTCTACAAAAGATCAGCTTTCAGAGTCTGAATACAGCAAGCTTTTGCTAAGGAAAAGTCTACTTTGGTCCTCAACAATTTCATTGTAGATTGATATGTAATGTTAAGGGTTGTTGTAATCATTTTATTAATTTACTTTGTGGGTATATATCACAAGTGTTTTGGGGAGATTGGGTCTGGTTTTCTCATGTCCTTATGTCAGTGTAACAATTATCTATAAAAATCCACTTAGAACAAATAAACCAGAAATGACCCAGGGGCAAGAATCAAGGAAACTTCTTTGATCTATGGAAAAGATAACCTTCCAAATTTGAGTTTGAAAGTCTTCTTTTTTGTCTTATTGTAAGGGCAGCGGGGGTTTTGGGGACTGGGAACTTTTCAAAATGTTCAATGGCTTGTTTTATATTTCCCAACTACCCATTTGAACTTCAATTTTTTCACAGGGGTGACTTTGGGGGGCAGGAAAGTTATTACAAATATCAAGGGACTAAAACTTTTTGGACCAAATTTAAGAGAAATTAGCCTGGCATTGGCAAAAGGACAGCCCTTCATAGTTAGAATATGGGCCGTATGCCTGGTAGGTGCGTGGTAAATGCAGTTGGAGGTGAACTTGATGTGAAATCTGTAGGCGGTATCGCTAAGTCAGCCATTTTGAGGGCATGTTGTTGGGTGTCTGTGGCTGATCTGCAGGGACAGGGGACAAGAAGGCACTCTGTCAAGCCCTTGATCTCAAGTTTCTACACCCTCATGGGAGGGGAGCAAGGAAAACAATGGAAGTAGTAATATAAGAAAGGAATTAGAGTAGCTGGAGAAGGTTTCAGGGAGAAGGTGCTTGCTTCAAGAGCTAGGCTTTGAAAATATCTTCTATTCGGTTGGTTGCCTTTTTGTTTTGTTGGTGGTTTCTTTTGTTGAGCAGAAAAGCTTTTTAGTTAGATATACAGATCATGTAGCACAGACTTGTACACTTGAGACCTACATAATCTCATTAACCAATGTCACCCCAATAAATTTAATTTTAGAAAGAAGAGCTAGGCTTTGAGAGGTAGGTAAGATAACCATAGAAGGAAAGCATTATGTCCTGGGAGGGAGGAAATACAGAAGCTGACACGTGGAGCTGGACTTCAGAAGGGTCCATGGTGAGATAGTGAGAGTTTTCTGCCCAGCACAGACAACAGAGTAGAGCGTGCAGGACCAGAAGTTCCCGATAAGGTTGGATGCATGGGGTGGGGCCAGATTACAAAGGACAGTGAGGACAAAGTTAGAGAATGGGTTACACTGTTAGAGTGTCACGCCAGCAAACTTATAGGAAGCTGGCAGGATGGACTGGAGGGGGAGGGAAACTGGAGGCAGGGAGACTCAGTAGATGGGGGCAGTTAAGTAACCCAAGCATATAGTGTTGCAGGCCTGGATCTGGGGCACAGCAGTGAAGAGGGAAAGGGAAGAAGAGGTAGGGAAGACATGCCAAAGAAACTAACAAGGAATGGATATTAGGGCTTCTCTCCAATGAGCAGGAGGGTTTTTATAGGTCATTCCTGGAGATATTCCACAACCTGGAGCTATACTAAGTCTTAGAACCTCTTTCAGGAAATACAAATGGGAATTTAAAGAAAAGCAATAGAACCTAAATCACTTGATGGTCCCTCCCTCTGGGACAAAGTCCAGCTTGATCATAGAGTGGTCATAGGTAATATACACCCATAGATTATGGGGTAGAAAAACAAAATTATATTGTGGATAATCATACACTACACTCATCGGCTTAGGCAGAAATAACTTTTTTTTTCCACTTGGTTACTCAGTTGTCTTTACAGAATTGGCCCGTTTTGGTAAAATGTGCACTGTCAACGTGGAACTTTTGAAAGAAATGAAATTGTAAGCACAATGGACTTAAAGCACCATCTTACCTCTTTTTCTGTAATTACATGGGAGTGTGAGAAATAGGTAAATGAAATACTTGATCCCTGTGGTTTAAATCCTCTGTCCCAACTGGTTAACATCAATTCAAAAGGTTGCCTAACTGTGCAATTATTTGGCACCAGATGACAATATAAGTGGAGAGTTGTGTATATACACTCTTAGGATTATCAAAGTTTATATGAGACTTTGCTTAAATTCTTAGCCACAAACATAGAAAGATAGTGAGTATCTATCAAGAGTGGCTAAAAGGGATGACCCTGATCTAGGGGATATATTCCAAGGGCTGAAAAAAAAACTGGAGCAGAAGGAGTGACCAGGAAGGAAGGAAAAGCAGAATCAGCCAAGGAAAGGAGGGAAGGCAGGATTAGAAGGAAACAAGGGATCCTCAGAGTGAAGGAGAAAGAGAAGGTTCCTCGATGAACACCGTTGGGGATCAGTATCACCCTAAGACTGTGCTATGGAAGAACTGAGGAAGGTGAGGTGGCTAAGTTATATTGGACCACAGAAATGTGTGAGCACAGATTCTCCCCTTTTCTCTCCCATTGGGGCACTACAGAAAGTAGGTTTCTCTGTTAGTAGTAATTCATAAACCTTCAGGATCTTCTAGTTTATTATTAGCCATTATTTTCCCTGGATTTTATGAGATAATTATATCATCAGAAACCCAGCTAAGACCTGGGTTCTCAATTCTCCCACAGTAAACATTCCTATGGTCATAAAAAGTTTACACTTCTGGGTAAACATTCGAAATTTACAATCCTGATTACGTTGACTATGTTCTTTTCAAGTTAGTGAAACTAGTTTGAAAAGAAAATTTTATATTTTTGTACTTTTAATATCCTCCCAGAGACTCATCATCTGTGCTTTTGTATTTTTCTTTGAAGCACCTGAAAACACATGTTCACTTATTTTTACAAATGCAAAGGGTCTTTGACATGAGTCTGGTTAAGCCAAGTCTCTACAGTCCTTATCTTATTGGTTAAAGAGTACAGTAGTTTTCAGTCAAACTGACACATATTAACTTTAGGTATGTATATTTAATCTCCCTGGTCCCAGTTTCTTTTCTGCAGCTGATAAGACAGAGATAATAACAGTATCGATCTCATATGGCTGCTGAAAGGATTAAATAAATTATTTTGAGAAGCAGTGACACATAGTGAATCTGGCACATTATAATATTGAATTTTAAAATGGTAGTTTTAAAATAATATTTAATTAATATCAATATTATTATTCTTATTAATTCCATAGGATGCAATTGATTTTCTGAACATAAACATGGGACTTTACATTGATCATTGATAAATGTCATGTTAGTTTCAGTTCTTCTTTCTGGCTATTTTGGTTATTTTACCTGTTGATTCTGACATTTGTGGCATAAGCTTTGCATGGACTGTAGATGTGAGAAACACCCCTCCTCCACCTTAATCTAAGAGGCTAATGCAACTGTTGAGCATGACAGAGCCCTGTCATGGGTGTCTGGGTTTAATGCTAGGACTCTCACTTGGAGATCTGATTTAACAAATTCTGGGATATGACTTCTCTTCTCAGGTCTTGGAATTCTCAATTAGAGTTTCTAGTTACTTGACATACCAATTTCTGAAGAAACAAATTCACCTTCTTTTCACCATTCTGGCACTAGCGCCCTCTCTGGTCCTCCTTGTTTCTGTCAATAGTTTCATCAACCCAAAGTCATCCTTCTCTCTGCACCTCCACTCACCTACCACACCCTATAGTCTTTCCTTTATGATGCCTCCAAATATGCCCTTATCTTCCTTTCTACCACAGCATACTGAATAGAATTTCATCTCCCCTGTGTCCCACATCTACAAAACAAGGAGTTTGGGCCAGATAATTCCCAAAGTCCCTCTCAACTCTGTGTGATCCTTTAAGCATGGAGACCATGCTTAACATATGTTACATTTCCTAACACTGTTATTTTATCCCATGACTCTCAGGAAATATTTCCTGAATGAATTATCCATGTATTTGAGGCAAGCTGTTTTCAAACTCTTTTCTTAATCTGTTGAAACTGCCAACCTCTGAACACTGGGGCCAGAGGATTCTAGAGAGCATCCAGATAAGATTATATAGAAGGTAACTCTGATGTATTTAGAAGGACAATGCAATTGGAGCCCAAAAGGGCTGAACTCCAATTGTCAGTTACTAACCAGGTCCTGAGGAAGTCACTCAACTTCTCTAAGCCTCAGTTTCCTCAACTGTCAAATAAAACTAGAGATGCCCTCCTCACAGGCTTGTTGTGAAGACCAAATAAAATAACATGGACTGAAATACACTGATAATATTTGTCCAGGGGCTCACGGTGGATAGAGCAAGTCTTGAGTACACACGTGTCTGGGGGCATCACTCCTCTCCTTCTTTATAAGCTTGGGTTAAAGGCCAGTGCTGATGTGGGAAGGCAAAAAGGAGGCACCACTTCTGATGATAGAGATCCGATAGGCTTCCATTCTCCTCACACTGCATTGTGTCATCTGAGAATCCTCTTAGCTGGGCCATTTGTGTCACACCAATGGATGGACTATTCAGACAAAGCCTCTTTGTCCTTATGGAAAAGCCACACAGGAGCCACATTAGTAGATATTTGCTATGTGTGTGTGTGTCTCAGAATCATCAGCTAAGAAAACTCATGGCACTCTTTCTCAACCGTGGCTGTGCCAGGAAAATCTACACCAGAGTCCACATATCCAAGGCACGCCCTCTCCTGAATCCAATGATCACCTATGTGCCATGTCTGAACAAGTCCTTCCTCTATGCAACCGATCTCCAAATGGGCTAGGATGCAATTAATTAGGTTTCCAAGAAC